TGCAGGAGGAGAACTCATTTAAACAGGTCTGAGGTTTAATCACCAGTATCAAGAGTAAGACATAAAGCACGTAGTCACTGATCTCCTTTGTCTGTTTGTAAATCCTGAACCTCAAATATTAGTAAGATCAGGAGATTCACAGAATACTGGCAGCTAAAGCACCTGCCCAGGAGATAGATTGAAAATGAGGGTCCTTTTCACCTACCAACACAAAAATGTAAAAGATTTACATTAAGAGTGGGACGAAAGGGCAAGGGACACTCATGTTAATACTAAAAATGGAAACCTTTGGGGGAGCAATTTATTTGTACTCATTAAAATTTAAGTGCATATAGACATTCTTCCAGGGAATATTGTAGAAAGAGCTACTCTTGGGCCCGACAGCAGTATCTGTACTAGTAAGAACCTAGAAACCATGAAAATACTTAGCAAATGTACCCACACACTATAGCGATCTTCACACATACACAGCTAGAACTGATGTTTGGACACAGAAGCATGTCTACTACCACACACTGCTGGGTGAAAATAAGTGGCAAAAAGCTTTTAAAGAATAGGACCATTTTTTTAAATCAAAATACAGGTGAACAAATACACAGATGTCTCGTTATCCCAGAGGGTACAGAAAGTGTATAATTTTACTCTATGTAGTGTTTTACAATATTTGTGTCATTTATAAAAAGTTATGCTGACATACAACTATGAATCTGCTAATCATCTAAAAAGTCAACAGACGCCCCAGGGAACCCATGGTGGCCCCCCTCGGTGCTCAGAAACACCCACTCTGAATCCTATAGCTCCAGATGTCACCAACAAGATCTGCTCAGATGAGCAGGTCTAAAAGGAACCAATGTTACCTTGAAAATTTTCTGCAGAAAATGATCGCTTTTAAAGTAATAGACTCACTTTCTCCTGGAAAGATACTTAGAACATTTAGTAAGTATTTTTCATAATTTTCCATAGGTGCCCACCCAAACATAACCAAAAGGTGACATGAATTGGACTAGCCCAGAACCCCAGTTTCCATCTTTCAGCTTCCTAAAATCCAGAGGTCCAAGCTTTGCTGCTAAAATTCAGGTCCACAACTTGGAGAACTAAGGCTTGGACACCTTTCACTACTTAGGAAGCAACTGGTGCAACATAATGTTTTGCTTAAGAAAAAGGGCTTTGATTACAAAATGTAGTTCTCAAAACTGATTAAACAGAGGTTTCTAACATCCTCTGTGAAAAAAGGTGGAGTATTAATAATTATACCCCAAGATACCTGCACCTAAAATACATTGAGAAAATGGATGTAAGAAACAAGTTGGATATAAGAAACACTTGAACTTTTAAAAAGGTAACCAACTTACTAGCATAATTTTAGAGTTATAAAAAGTACATACACTGTCTCTCTCGAGTAAAGTGCCTAATATTAAACAGTGTGAGGATAATATCTTTCAGGATAGAATGTACTTTTTCCACTTGCCCTAATAATAACCCTATGCCCAGATGGGAAATGTAACCAGAACTAAACAAACATAATATAGATGGAGCAGAAGTGCCAGAAAGCTCACGAATCCTAGATGCCTTCAGAAGCTGAGTGTTTCAAAAGGTTTCAACAAATAGGGCAGTGTAAAAGGTTAGAGATGTGTGAAGTGCAAAAGCAATCAGAGAAGAAAACTAATGGATTTCTATGGGGAGGCACCGGAGAGCATCAGATATTGCAGCATATTTAAGTTGAAGGGAGAATGCGTATACTACTATAACTAGTCATATTCAAGTCATCTACATGACACTGCAATGTGCATGCTTTGTTCTGATGACAATCACTAATCAAAAAAAAAATTATGGGAATGATGCAGTCCCTAAAATTAGTTACAGTGAGTCTAACCCAATGCACAGGTAAGAGATGAACAAAACCGAAAGGAAGAACAAGCCACACGAATACAAAGTGACTCCATCCCCGCCCCCCCCCACACCCACACAAAGGCAGCAGTTTCTTGCAAGAATGTTCTTGGCAAAAAATAAAATTACAGACAAGTCTTTTTTCCTTAATGAGAAAGAGGCAGTTCTAGACACAGATTACTGCGCATTGCCATCCTGAACTTTTCATTTTAGACCCAAATTTACAGACTTAACTCAGAAATATTTTTTATCTGAACGTTTTAGATCTCAAAGAGGACTGGAGAGACCGTTTGTTTGGAATGCTCATTTCTTGCTGTACTTGGAAATAAAATCCGTGGTGGCAGCTTACCTTGGCACTGGAAGCCTTGTTTCCCAAACCCCCTGCAAAACAAACAAAAACAAAGTATCATAACATATTCTGTGCTGGATATATCTGAAACCAGGTAGGGGACAAAGTACTCTACAGAGGTAAGGTTTATACGGGAACCCCAATGATTCAATAGAAAGAAAAAAAAAAAAAAACTGCTGAAAGAGCTCAACAGAGGGCTCCAAATTCCAGTTCTAGCCTCCAAAGGTTACTGAACTATTTCAGTGCATCTAGGTCCCTTCGATGTTTTACACTCTGGGTTACTGATGCTTAGATCGCCATAATATGAGTATACATGCGAAACTGCTGGCTACAATATTCACAGAAAAAGAACCTTTAAGTAAAAAGTGCCCTAATATTGTCCCTAAAGTCTGAACGAAAATGTTTTCCCCCAAAAGATACATGAAAAGTGGCATCATTTGTTATGAATTTATTTAAAAGTGTCTAGAAATTGCCAAACAGCACCACTCAACGTTTAACTTTGGCTGAAAGAAACCAGATTTTGGCCCTCCCTGGTGGCTCAGCGGGTTAAAGCACAGCACTGAGAAGCTAAAGCCACTTCCGCATGAGTTCGATCCCTGCCTGCCCCGGAGGTGACCACATGGCTTGGCAGACCTCTCCTGACCAGCCCACTGCTCCCCTCATCAGTAGACTTCGTAGATCTGCCTATTCTACTCCCCACTCTGTCTTTGTCTCTGGTGAAGCCTCTCGCTGCCCCTGAGCCTCTGGCCTGTACCCCAGTTCGGTATGAACAAATAAATCTTAAAAAAAGAAAGAAACCAGATTTTACAAAGTGTCATTCTCATTGTTTGCATTTAAGATTATCATGACCTGATTTTTCCTGAGAGCCAAGAACATTCTAAGCGCACACACAGGCTATTTTATTCTTGTAAATTAGAAATTATACTCTGAGCTGAGAATCCTGGACATTAAACTGCAACACTCTTCCACTAGGATAAACTACATGAAGATTTTCTCAGAAGGTTATTTGTCCTTTACACAGCATTTCAATTTACAGAGCATCTCATGTATTTATAATTAATTAACTCAGTCATCCCCACACCCCCCAAAAAAAAAAAAAAACACATGCACACCCAAAACATTTAATTTTCTGTTATCAGTGCTTTAACATTTAAGTCACACTTGACTTCCAAGAGCCCCCCGGAATAGTGAAATCAAACTGAAAAATTACCCTGGCACTTGCAAGTGGCTGTTACCCAGTTAAATGGAGAAGTATTTCAGGAGTGCACAGGAGAACGAAGAGGACAGTATTTCCCCTTAGCATCACACCTGGTGCTGCCAGAGCCTCAGCAGTGGGCTGATCCTTCAGCGCAACTGACAGTGGAAACTCCCTTTTCCAACTCACCTGCTTCCTGCAAAAGTAATCTTAAGTCTGTTCCCCTTTCATAGAACCTCACAGTGGAGCCTGGCGGCCAAGACCTAGCCTTAACTAAATGCAATACCTTCTTTGCCCTGATGCCCCAAAACTTATTTTCCATGGCCTATCTACCATTACCTACTCCTCTGAGTACAACTGCTTCCAGTGCTGACTACCAGTGGGAATCAATTCATAGAGGAGAGGAGGCTGTGCTGAAGTGTACTTGCCAGGGATTTCTAAGAAGGAAAAACTAAGCACCTTATTAGCACTTCTGAGGAGCTCGCCCTTAGGGGTAATTTTTCCCGGGTGTGATGGATTCATATAGAGCCCTCCCTAAAGGGAAAAGCCAGCACCTTATTAACGCCTCATGGGATCTGCCCTCAGAGATGGTTTCCCGGGACTGGGTGGATTCAGAGAGCCAGCCGTAAAGGAAAAATTAAGCCCTTTATTAGTACCTCCTGAGATGTACCTCCTGATTTCCCCCAGGTGCGGTGGATTCAGACAACCTTTCCCAAGATGCCCAACAAGCTACAGGTGGCATACAGCCAGCAGGGGCAGGGCACTGTCACCCAGGTCCAGGAGGGCAGAACCAAGGAATCCTAGCCACAGCTGACTAAGCTTCACTCCACAAACAAGAGGTGAAGTGGCAAGATGTCTGGTAACCAGGCAAACTACTGCTCCTGGAAGCCCAGGCAGGAGAGGGGGGTCCTGGAGTTCCTTAGCTCCAGCTTTCTAAACTTTTCTCTGGGGCGGAGGGGGGGTGTCATGGACTTTATGGACAGTAACAGCTATAGCTGTGATCAAAACCACACAATCTCACTTTTACAGGGTTCAGGGAGCCCCTGAAGTTCATCCGTTTACCAAGTCCCTTCCCTCCCCCCAAAGTTAAGAGTGGCTACTTTACAGGACAGTACCTGAACTCTGACACCTTTAGCTCTTACAGTACTTCCTAACTAAGGCCTCTGTCCTCATCGACGGGGTTACGGGTTTAATCTCAAGCTGACAGGGTCTATTTTAAATGACTCTCGGTGCCCTCTGCCATTTGCCTGCTGTTTGAATTCCCCCTCCCCCATCGCAGGCTTTCAACAGTTTGCTGCCTCTGCAGGCTCCGGGCTCGCCCAGAAAAAGTCAGTCTCCCCGTTCCCAGTAGATACAGGCTACAGTCGGCAAGGACCCAAGGTCTCCGACGAGTCCAAGCCCGATGGGAATCACAATGCACACCCCCCTCACCCCGAAGACGCCCGGCCTGGCTCGCCCACAACTTGGCCGGCGCGACCGCCGCTCCCCAGTTACTCGCGGCGTCTTTCCCGGGGAAACTCTGCCCTCTGGATTCTCCTCGCTGCTCTCCCCCGGGCTCCCACCCCCGAGCCGCAGCTCCGCCGTCCGTGCGCCAGGGAGCGGGGCCCGGGAGGGGACCGTGGTACCGGGGCGCGGGGCAGCCGGCCTCCCGCCCAGGGGGTGTGTGAGCGGGCGGCGGCCGCCCGGGTGTCCTGCCCGCGCGTGTCAGTGCCCGGGCGGCCGGCGCGCGCTGTCATCCGGCGAGAGTTCCCAATCCCGCCGGCTCCCCAAGTTCCCCGAGTGAGTCAGCCCCGGAGGGGACGCGCCCGGGGTGGGGGCGGGGTCCCCGGGGCGCGGACCCCGGAGCCAATAAAGGGGCCGGTCCCCAGCCCCGGGAGCGCAGAGAGGGGTCCGGGGAGGCGCTCCGTGCGCTCCGCGCCGCGCGCACCTACCAGATGAAGTCGGTGCAGTGGCTGCAGAAGGTGGGCTGCTTGAAGAAGCGCGCGATGAATTTGTGGTCCTTCACCTCGTGCACGTTTTTCTGCCTCAGCGCCCCTTTGCGGGCGAAGCGGTTGGCCACGTCCTGAGACGCCGTGGAGTCGTTGGCCGGGAAAACGTCAGCCATGGTCCCCCCCAACCACCTCTTGCCTCCGCCGGGGAGCAGCAGCCGGGGAGGATTGGGTGGGCGGGGGCGGGCGGGAGCGGGTGGCCGCCACCGCCTCCAGGAGTCAGAGAGGCTTCGGGCACCCCCTGCTGCACGTCAGCCAGGCCCTGCTGCGTCCAGCCAGGAATGACCCTGTGACGTGGTGACCGCCATGCCTGCCTGGGGGTCAACTCGGTCAGAGTTAAGCAGGACCCCACGCCTGGGAGCCCTCGGGCCTGGTGTTACCCTGAGCTGCTGCCGCAACCGAGAAGGGGGTCCCAGGGGACTGGGAATGGGGTGTCTCAGTGCTGCTGCCCTGGTGCTCTGGGGGCGAGGGTGGCGCCTTGCTTAAAAACGGGGACACTGATCTCAGGAAACCGGGTTCTTTCATCTCGGTGGTCGGGGACCCGCTGCCTGAGAGATGACAGGGGTCCGGACTGCTCCTCCGCGCAGCGGGGAGATGCGACGGTCACCCGACTGACCGCAGGCAGTCAGGCCCAGCGGGCAGCCGGCTGGCGTCCAGGACCTCCAACAGGAGACGCCGCCGGGAAGCGGCCGGCACGCAGCGTGCTTCGCCCGTGTGCGTGTCGGAGCCTGTGCGTGGTCCACGCGGCGTGTCACGCTGCTCGCATCACAGCACGCGTGTGTGTGGCCTCGGCCACCCGCAGTGACAACCAGCCAGGCCGAGCAGCTGGGCGAGGCGACGGCTGCTCCAGGCAGGACCCCGGCTTCCTGCTGGGGGCCTGGCTCTGGGCCAGCCCCCTGGTGGACTCCGGACCCCTCTTACTGGCAGGGCGTCCCCTGGCCAGTCCCCGGCATCCCCCGCTCACTCACTCACCCACAGTCACACTCAGTCACTCACATTCACAATCACACTCACACACCCACAGTGACTTTCACTCACTCAGACTCACACTCACTCA